ACACATACACATACATATATACATACATACATACAGACATATGAACAAGTGCATACACAAATAAACAAATAATTAAATACACAAATAAACAAATATAAATATAAAAATAAATATACATATAAATAAATAAATAAATAATAAATAAATAAATATATATATATATATATATACATACATACATACGTATGTCTTGAAGGGTTGCCGGTTGAGTATGCTGGAGGCTCATTCTTGGGATTTTTGAGGCTGCTTTTTGGACGTTTCGGAAGGAGTTTCAAGGCTTAGTGGAGTACATCGCAGGCTTTGAGGGGCTCCTTGATCACCGGCTCTGTTGAGGGGGGGTGGGGGGGGGCCCTTATCACGAGGACGGTACTTTAAAGCCGGCAAGGCTGACGCCAAGGCGAAGGGGAAGGCAGAAGGTGGGTGGGAGAGGTGGAGGAGAAGCTAGTCTTGCACGGTAAGTTGTTCGAGGCTGGTGCTGCGCCGTCAGGTAGTAGTAGCGATAGCGTTAGACGGAGTCCGATGCAGGCTAGCCTCGCGCACAGGCCTAAAGGAGCCGCAAGAGGTCCGAGCACAAGCATCGGCGGAACCGGCGTTGCATTGTGGACTTGCGAGAAGCGAAACCGCGAGCTTTCACACCTGAGACTGCATTGGTGCGATTGATGCCCGTGCTTGCGAAAGCCCACACCTCAAGGTACAATATCGACACCTGCAAGCCATCCCGCTCGATTTGCAAGCTGAAGTTGAGGTCCATTGGGCTGGACAGACGTATATCCGTAGAGACATCAACTGCCGTTCATGGCGTGCTGTGCATCCCGTTTACCAGCGTGCAAACATGGAGATTGCGGTGTCGTCAGATATTCGAGTTCTGGTCTTCGGGATTAAGAACCTCGTTCAAAACAGTCCGCCTATGTCCAGAATGTGGGCAACAATTCAAAATCCCTTCGGTGAGGAACCTTTGCTATCAACTCCAGATGCGCCAGAGGTGCTAGTTCCATGCACTCTACCCGCTCACAATGGTGTTCGTTGGCTTCTTGTTTCCTTGGAGTGGGATTCCAGCTATTTTGCTGTGTTTCTCGACGACGAACCGCTGTGCTATCGAGAGCGGGAGGTCGCGCTTCTGCCTCGATGTTATATCACATAACGGCCGAGGACCTGCGGGACAAGGCGCAGGGACGACTGACCGGAAGAGATGCCTTTGCTATCTTCACGGCAGGAGAACACCAGGAAGCAGGACTCTCACAAGCGATTATAAAGGCCAAGGCGGACGACGGCCAGCGTCTGCAACAGGCCGTCATGATGTCTGACCTAAGTACACGGCCCCCTAGATGTTGAAAAGGAGCTCAAGGACCTGCGCGGCAAGAAGCCGACCTGCAAGGCGGCGGCGTCGTCTGTCGTGCGGAGTCCACGAAGTTGAAGATGGCTGAAGTTCCGACCGAAGGAAGTCCTCTTCATTTACGGGATGCGGCTGCTTCCGGTCCGCTCCGTGGCTCCGCAGTAGCCGAACAGAGCACACCAGCCGCACACGAGACGCCGGGGCCTGATCTAGCTGACTTGACAGGACGAGCCGCCGGCGAACGCCACGTGACGACGACGGAGGCCAGATTAGAGTGCGAATTGGAACAAGAAATCGAACGACGTGTCCGCCAACGAGTTCAAGAACGCGAGTCGCAAGCTCGAGGTCAAGGACAGCCTTTGGATTTGGAGATATTGCAGCAGGCCCTGGAGACTCAAAGGACACAAGCTCAAATCTTGCACCAGCTGCAGCAAGCGCTGGGCGACATGGAACGGCAACGACGGCGTGACACGGACCGTCTCAATGCCGCATCCGCGGATGCACAGAAGCAATGGGCCCACGCAGTTTCTCAGATCACATTTTTGCTGCAGTCGCAGATGGCAGGTGGGACGATTTCTGGTGGGATCTCTGGAGGAGTGACACCTGCACCAGCGACACCTGGAGCAGCGATATTTGGAGCAGTGACACCTCCACCTGCGACATCGCGCACTCCGAAGAGGCGACAGCGGTGTGGCGACTGTGAGCCCTGCAAAAAGATGCTGGCGGCAGGAGTGAGGCGTCCAATGTGCGCGACATGGACGCAGCTTCCCCCCCTAGTGGTTCCTCGCGCTCCCGACGGCCGCTACGTGAGCCACTCCAGTGAGAGGGAGTCGCCTGGCAAGGGCACTCCTTTTCCGCCGTTGCCCGTTGAGGGGGGAGGCGACGGCGGGAAAAAGAAGAAGAAGGTCAAGAAGGAGAAGAAACTCGCCGAGGCATCCGACAGAGTGTCCATCGCGGAGAAGAAGCCGGACGAGGATGACGATGATGATTCAGGAGACCTGTTCGTTGACGAGTCCCCGAGCATGGTAGGCTGACTGCCAATGGGAGTTTGCCGCCCCCGCTTAGCGAACCTAACGCAGAAGATCCTAGGCCTAGGCCGGTTGCGGGGGTGTTGCGGACTCCTCTTGGGGCCTAGGCACTCAGCTCAGTGGTGTCACCTATGCCCAGCAGCAACAACAACAGCAGCAACAACAGCACACAGCAGCAACAACAGCACACAGCAGCAACAACAGCACACAGCAGCAACAACAGCACACAGCACACACAGCAGCACGCGGCAAGACACGGCACACACGTTGGCACCACGAGCACCACGTTTCGCACAGGTGGTTGCACCGAGGGGTGGCGTTCTCCCACTGCTAAAAGCGAGCCGCAGTCTTGGGTTGGGTTGGTTTAGGGGGTTTCGTTCCGGGAGTTCAGGGTCCATAAGCCATTTTGGCCCCGACGTAGGAGTGCCAGCCAAGTGCCCCAGCATGCCAGTGAGTGCGCTCCCTATCCCACCCGAGGGGGCGCCCCCTTGACCCTAACCCTTCTGCTGCTGCTTTGACTTTATGCTCTAGCTGCTTTTTGCTTTCAAGTTGGTGGGGGGTGGGCTGGGTGCGGCCGCTGCCGTAGGAGGTCTTGACTAGGAGTGCAGGTAGGACTGAGTGTGCGAGGTTTCGGGTTTTGTTTTTCGGGGTTTAGTGTCCGTGTGCGCGCTTCTGCCCCTATCTCCTCCTGCTCCCAGGTCCGACCTCTTCGCGTGGACTGGCCGGGCACTTCCCCAAGGTGCTCAGAGGCTGCCAGGTCTGTGCGCAAGGCTTCGGGTTTGGTTCAGGGTTTGGCTTCGGAGGTTGGGAGGCGGGGTTTTCGTAGGCAGGCCACCGTCCGCTGCACATCAGCTTCTAAGTAAACATGGAGGAGCGCAGAAGCAACGGCTTCCGCATGAAGCCTTCCCTCGGCCAGGTCCTCGGCTACACCCAGGAGGGCGAGCCCCTTGCGCTGGATTTGCCCAACCGCAAGGCCAGCATCTACACCTCGAGTCACTTCTATCTGGATGATTACCCAGTATTTTCCGAGTTCCCTGAGCACTTTTACTCCGAGCACGTCGCGGGTATGTCGTATTCCAATAACCCCAGGAACGGATTTCGTCGATCCTGAGTCGGTGAAGCTAGCGTTCACCTTCCGCAACACGGACGGCTCCAGCGACATGCTCTGCGGCTCGCCGGACCCCTCGTGCTTCATCGAGCGCATTCAGCTCTTCGCCAACGGCCAGCGCGTGGAAGACATCAGCTGCTACGGGAGATCGTGCTTCATGTATTCTCTACTGAAACCCAGCGACTGGTGGACGGAACTGCGCTGGGAGGGCCTGCCCGTGGACGCCGGCGGCTGGGCGCAGCCGGTGCAGCCCGGGGCAGAAGCTTTCGCTCGTCCGCGTGCGACCTATCCTATTTTATGGGAGACATCCCGGCGGCGAGCCAGCGAGGAAGGTTTGAGATGCCGGTGGCGCGGTGCTGCCGTTCGTGATTGCACTGCGGCAGGCCGCTCAGGAAAAGCGCGACCCTACGAAGAAGGCGCGAGAAGTCGTGGCGTGGTTCTGCTACGTAAGTATGATTGCATGGCGGCAGGCCACCAAGAAGACAGGACAAGGGGGAGGAGCAATCGGAGGGGGCGTCGGGGCGGGTCCGTGTGCGCATCCCTATGTAATGGAGTACTCAGACTCATATCATAAGCAGCAACTGTAACAACAATAGTAATAACAATAATAGTGGTATTTGTAATGGTAATAATACTAATAATGATAATCATAATGATAATCATAATAATGATATTAATAGTAATAATGATAAAAACTATGAGACAATAATAAGGATAAGTATGATGATATCAATAATGTTCAATAATAACGATAAATAATACTGGTAATAATGACGATCATGGGTTTTGGTTTCGGGTTTAGGGTTTAGGGGTTTAAAGCAAAGCCGGTATAATGTAGGGCCTTAATAATCACTTATACTCTTTTGCGGGTTCCTTATTGTAGTAATAGTATAATGGGCCCTAAAACCCTATTCTAATCATAAGTGTGGAGCCTTTTCAAGGCCCCACAGCCATGGACTGGCAGATTGGAACTGAAGCGGCAAAATTCCAATCCGAAGCCCTTAACCCTCAACTTTTTTCCGGGTTTAGGGTTCGGGGCTTAGGGTTTAGGGTTTAGGGTTTAGGGTTGGGCTTTTTAGGGTTCAAGGTCTCTAAGGTGTGGTGACGTCGCGTCGCCTTTTGTGTGAAGCACACCCAGGCCTCCCGCACCCTGCGTAGTGTAGCAGAAATATGCAAGCTACCCCAAGACCTGAGTTCAAGCGGTCGACGGTTTAGTTCCTAAAACCTTTACCAGAACCCACAAGTAGGTAGAATAATGGCCCAATGCCATTAAAATGCCATTATTCCACATACTCTTGAGGTCCAAGTAAGCCTTTCAGGGGGACTTGCGCATTACCGACGCCGACCGTTGCCTTGGAAACGCCTCATCTGCCCAGGAGAAGTTAGGAGTTGAGCCAGGAACGAACGCCCGGATTCGTCCGAGAGTAAAAGAGCCTTTCAATGGGAGGGGTGTCCTCGTGTTTTCTTACAAAGACCTTCTCTTCAGTACCTTGGGGTGGGGCCGCGGCAGGCACAGTGCCCACCCAGCTGCACTTAGGGTTCACGTATGCGTTTATGCCACCAACCGAAGCGGTTGTGGAGCTTGCGCTTGCAGCAAAAAATTTTTTGGGTTTAGCATGTGGGGTGTGGGCTTGAAGGCTAGGGTTTGTCCAGGCTGCTCTATACCGAAAGCCCTCATCACCAATCCGGATCCTGACTAATCCCGACTCCCCCGAGAATCCCTGAACGCGAATCTCATCCTGTGACCCGTTTTGAGGTCCCTTTGGACGACGCTCCTCGACGAGAGAGAAGCTTGGCCCTCCCCCAGAAAGTTCGGGTAATGGGTCCCTGGAAGGATTAGGGCTTAGGGGTTTGAGGGTTTGGGGGTTTAGGGTAGGGGTTAAGGGTAGAAGTTCGGGGTTCAGGGCTTTGGGGGGTTAGGCTATAGGGGTTCGCGGATTGTGAGGCTAAGGGTTCAGGACTGGTTCAGGCTCTGGGGTTTCGGGGCGTTCAGGACATGGCTTTGGTTCTTTGGGGGTTAGGCTTTGGGGCTTTGCGGTCTGGATGAGGGGTTGGCGGGTTGTTGAGGTCTAGAGTTAGGGTCTACAGAGATTGAGCAGAGCAGTGCGGCCGCCTCCCTTCAACGTGGCCAGCGCGTACTCCACGTCTGTCAGCCCAGCTGTCGCAGTCAGAGCTGTTGTGCGCATCATCGAGGCTTGGCCTTCACCGCATTCCTGCAGAGAAGCTGAAGCGGAGATGCTCGCGAACGAGATGTATCGTCGAGCTGGATTCCGGCCTTTCTGCGCCAGAAGCGGCCAGGATTGGCAGTTTCGCATTCCACAGCTGGGCCACGGTAACCGGCAGTGGGGCAGTGAGCCTCCCGGATCTGATAATGTTCTGGGCCCAGAAAGGCTGAATATAGGGGCCTTAATGGTTAGAAATCGGGTTTTGAGGCCCACTATACTATGATTATCATAAGGAACCCCCCAAAATAGTACTGGTAACTATTTAGGCCCCTACATTAGAGGCGAGCCAGCAGCAGGCTCAAAGAACTCTGCTGCATCTGCGCTTGCGGGTTTTTGGGTTTAGGGTCTAGGGTTTAGGGTTTAGGGTTTGGGGTTTGGGGCTTCGTGTCTAGGGTTTAGGGTTAGTCCATGTGCCGCGGTGCTGAAGCATTCAAACGTGCTATCGTTACAGCCCCTCAGACCCCAAAGTATCACCACTTTTTTCTGGACCTGACATTAGGCTTTAGGGTTTAGGGGTTTAGCGTATAGG